TCCTCATACCAAACTCGGCGATTGTTTTCCACCCATTGGGAAAGGGTCCGGTACCGGTTCATTTGGGAAAAATAACATCGAAGATTGAAGATCAAAAGAACAATTTTCTCTTATTTAATCAAATGAAACATATTTTGCGTTTATTCCAACTTAATTACCTATTATTCCGTGTTTTAAAGAATAAGCAACAAGTACTTATTGCTTTTATATCAATGTCCCATGTTTTCACATTTTCATGCTTTCAGTTCGTCAAAATGTACGACACTACACTGTTTACACCACAGGTCCCGCCAAATTATTACTTTTTCTACTTTCAATTTAAGCAGGTCCAGCACAATACCCTGAAAAACATGATAAAAAGGTACATAGCTTGATAAAGCTATATAGCTTTATCAAGGTATTACAGATACCTTGATCAAGGTATTTTATGTAATGAAAATTCAAAAAAAATCTTAAAAATTTAAATACTGAAAGTTGAGTTCTGCGTTGTTGTCAGTAAATTTACCCATGCATTTAAAGTACTCAAACACAAAGAAATCTGTATAAAATCATGTGGTGTGAGGAGACGTTTTTTTATGCTGTCTTTTTGATACCAGAGTGTTTTTCATGTACGAGTAGACACACTGACAAAATCTCAGAACCCAATTTTCAGTATTTAATTTTTAAAGAATTTTTTTGAATTTTCATTACCAGGTACATAAAATACCTTGATCAAGGTATTTGTAATACCTTGATAAAGCTATATAGCTTTATCAAGCTATATACCTTTATCAGGGTATTGTGTTGGACCTGTTAAACGGAAGTGAAACAAGTCAACTTGTACAATGTTTTATTTAAAAGGAAATACGATGTCGTCGTAGTCTATTGCTTCACAGTTGAATTGGGAGATTTTAGTCACAAAATTGGGAAAAATGAATGTTTCTGGCATTGGGAATGGTGCCGTTTATCGGTACCAGTTATATCAGGGAAAAAAACCGCTGAAACTAAAACAAATTCCTCAATTTATCGCGATATACTATGATCATCTCTGTTAGGCTGAGTTCAATGTGCATTCTCTAATGCGATTGCCTTTGTAATGGGGTTCACAAAAATGCTGCTTCGAAAGAGAACATTGTAGTAAGGTCCACAAAGATTTTGTTCATAAACCTCAGCCCCTAGCCTGTTACAACTGATCTCTAACCCTTTTCTTTGAAATAAAGGGAAAACACTGGGTTTAAACGTTTTAGGATAAAAACCGGACTAAAAGGGGGATAAAAACATGATAGCCTTTGATAGGTGTGATAGAAAGAGTCATGTTCAGTATTGTTAAAATGATAGTGCGCTTTGCCCAATTTAACAGTGGAATTCCTTACCTGTATTGGCAGTGTTGCAAAATAAACATGAGTGATTTCATTAACTACGAACAATACAAAGAATACCAAATGGAAAGTTAATTCTTTTTAGTATCCAGTTTTTGCAAATGCAGTAGATTTCACAAACATTTGACAATGATTTGAGCAAAACAAGAAAACTGACATAAATATCAAATTAAGCTGTATAGGAGATTTAGATGTACATGTTAAATCAACTCAAAACTTAGAAAGACATTGTGAAACAAGTTCAGAAATTGCTTGAAGGGAAGTACAAACATGATGATATGGTTTGCGTCAACATGGTCAAATGATATGTAAATAGGGATGGGTATCGCCAAAAATTTCGTATCGCGATATATCACGATTTTTTCCCACAATATCAGTGATTGGGATAAGCACGCGCCCTGCGCCATAGTCGCATTAAATTTTAAAATGTCGCATTAAAATTAAAAAGGCTGCGCCATCGTGGCGCATATATAATCATGCACTACATACTTTTAAACTTTGAGCTTTCCCCCAAGTGCTTGTAATCTTTCTCACAACAATCGCTGTCAATTTACGCTTGAAAAAAGAGCATTTAATGTCGTACAGTTAAAGCGTTCTTATGACTTTCTTTTCTCCAGTATCTAATCAAAAAGTTACGTGTTTTCTGATTGGCTAACGCGCATGAATTAACTGGTGTCAGCATGCTGCCTACGAAAAATACTTCGTACCGATTAAGGGCAGACTTTTCTTAATTTCTTTAACAATCCTAGCAAACAGAATTCATGTAAATCGGTAGGAAATGACTCGGAAGAAGTATAACATGCTGACAGAACGAATGGAGATAATTTTGACGGTAATACTGATGATGTAGTCTCGAAGGAAAAACCAAAACGAAAATTTAACATGAATTGGAGGGAAGCAGTATGGATCTAAACTAGGCTTTAATAAATCATTTTAAAGAGTCAAACATCGAAGACAAAAAATAAAGAATTGAAATTAAATTGCAGTGTTTATGTATTTTCTGACACTTGTGAATTTATATATATACTGGTATCTCATTTTATCGCGGTACTTAATTCTTTTTGCACAAAAAGTGTTATTTTGTATCTTTTAATGTCGTTATTCAATAATTTGACAATTTCAATTACATGTAAGTAAAGTCAACTGAAATTCTAACAGCAACTAATCAATTGCAAGTTTATACCTAGAAAATGTCCCATTACAAAGTCTGTTTGGCACATTGAATTTTGAAATGTCACATTGACACTGACTTTGAGTGTGCCATTGTCACATTTACTCCTTACCTTATCCCAATCACTGCAATATCACGATAATATCATGATATTTTTAACAGCAGTTTTTACAGTGATTTTATATGAAAAGTCATTATTTTCCTAAAAAATATGCTAGAAAAACAAAATTTTACTTTCTTGAATTTTTTTTGTATATAAAATCAATTATGTTTGGACGGTAAGATGCCGTTCTTTTCACTTTTTACAACATTTCTTATACTTTCTGCAATAGTGGTTTGAAAGATTGAACAGATAAATGAATAATTTCTGGACTTTATAATATGTACCTAAATACCGGTATTTAGGTCTCCATATCACGATACGTATCACGCAACAAAAAATCGCGATATACCGGTATACCGATAAAATCGCACATCCCTATATATAAATAATAAAAAGTATTGGATAGATGCATTTCGTCTTCTTTTCATACAGAACTCTAGAAATATTAATAAATGATAGATTATTTTAAAGAAAATAAATTATTTCCATTCTTTTGCTGTTTAGATTTGACTGGAAGAGCAGAATTAATTCTGAAGTTTCTGTATGATTCAAATAATGTTGCCTATAAACTGATGTACTAATGAATTGTGAATCCTTGTTTTGTAGAAGCGATGCAGACCCTGCTTCTCTTGCTAAATATGTTCTGGCCTTGGTTAAAAAAGACAAAGTAGACAGGGACTTAAAGGAAGTATGCATTGATCAACTGGACGTCTTTCTTCAAGGAAGTAAGTCTGATCATAAGGAAATAAGTCTGATTATTAAGGAAGTAAGTCTGATCATTAAGGAAGTAAGTCTGATCATTAAGGAAGTAAGTCTGATCACTAAGGAAGTAAGTCTGAAAATGTCAGATGTGTTGAAGTTGTGAAGTGTGATTAATGAAAGTTAAAGTTCAAATAGCAATGATTTAGAGTATTGTTAAATTTAACTCAATAATCATTTAGGCTCATCTGATGTAGGCCATTAAGGTTAATGTTTTTTAGACTAAGAATCTTACCATCAAGGTCTTTAAATGAAATTAACCTATGTAGATGCATACCTGTATGTAATTGGTTCTATTGATAAATTTTAGACAGTTCAATGAAGAAGAACTTTACTCTTCTGCTTGCATTTAATATCAAAATGATATACATGTATTACTTTTTTTAGCTCACCTCGTAAAAATTGAGATGAGCTTATTTTATAATGGTTGTTACTTGTTTATTAAACTTTTGTTATAGAAACCAAGGGTTTTGTGGATACATTGTTTGAAGCATTGACAACAAAAGAATACATGAAACATGCGCCAGATTCCTCGACCAAGACACAAGCTGTGGATGACGGCAAGTCAGACGTGTCCCTCCCCAGTAAAGGGGACAGCAGGAAAGATTCAACAGACTCAAAGAAGGCTAAAGTAAGCCACAAGGATTATTATGAGTTCTGCATTTAGAGTGTTTCCTATAGTACTATGTCTTACAACTTTTTCTTTGTTTGGGTTTTTAAAAGAAACATATACTAGTACATGCACATGGAACCATGTAATACTGACCTCTGCCCATTGTGTTAAATTTTTCTTTCATAAATCACCTTTAGGTGTTGTTGTTGTTTTTATGGTAAATCACATGCATCTGAACTGTTTTTTTTATGCCCCCCTTTGAAGAAGGAAGGGCATATTGCTTTGCTGCTGTCTGTCGAACCATTTAGTCTCTGTTCATTTTCCTCACAACCGTTGCACGTACTGAAATGAAATTCGGTATACAGATATATCAGGTGTATATCTAGGCAAAGATTGGTTTTGGGTATGAGCGCGCCATTTTTGACAGAGTTATGCCCCATGGACTTAGAAAAATTCCAATTATTTGCAGTTTCCATTCATTTTCTTTGCAGAGGTTGCACATATTGAAATGAAATTTGGTATACAGATTTATCATGAGAAAGTCTAGGTCAAGTTCTGTTTTGGGTACGATCGACCATTTTGGACAGAGTTATGCCCCTTGGACTTAGAAAAATTCCAATTATTTGCAGTTTCCGTTCATTTTCTTCGCAGAGGTTGCACATACTGAAATGAAATTTAGTATACAGATATATCAGATGACTATCTAGGTCAAGTTTTGTTTTGGGTATGATCTAGCTGCAATAATGTAACCCTCTCCCTTTTTTTTTTTTTTTGTGGGGGGAGAGGGCCTTAGGAACTCCGTAATGGTACAAAGCGGGAGCGATTCGCTCCCGCATGGATTTCGGCTCAAATTTTTAGTAAATGGCTATTTTATTTATATGTCTTACCTGGACTTCCAAAATGTAGTTATCCCAGACATAAATTGATCCAAAAATATACAGAACAATCCATGTATCAGTATTTTTGTTGTATATCAACATCACAACTTAAATTTATCCGCCATGTTTACTGGCACAGCCAATGAGATTAAGGATCTATAGGGAGCAGATTTCTTTGGAATTACCTTATTTTAAGCCTAAATATTGCTGTTTACGATAAAATGACACATGGAATGATTTTATTTATCGATGTTTAATGTTACTATTCATTACAATTATTTATAAACATTTGCTTAATTGAGTTATTCTAAATTTCAAGCGCAAGTCTCGGTACGTCAGGCATGAACTGTCATGGCAGCTGAGTAAAGCGAGAAGTAAATACACAGATTTATTTTACATGGTTTTCGCGTTTAACGAGCTATGATGTCGACAGTGAATAAAAATTTCATCTTATTAGAAGTAAGTTGAATGTAAAAACAATTTATTCTACCTGCAGTCACCCGTATTTAAAAAATATTTTTGCACCATTAACGGATATACTTTGGAATTGTAGCCCTCTCCAGAAAATATCAGATAAAAAAAATCGGAGAGGGCAGCTAGGTATGATCGCACTATTTTTGACAGAGTTATGCCCTTTTGGACTTAAAAAAATTCCAATTTGAGGGGAAGGGGGCATAAGTGTTTTACAAACATCTCTTGTTTGTTACAGAGTGAGAAGGGCAGAGAAGGGAAGAGAGAAGACAAAAGACATGGCTCCAGGAGCCCTAGTCCCAGAGAAAGACGCAGGGATATGTAAGTGTCACCACGCTAGTTTATCTTCTTCATAGTTTGCAGGTAGTAATAAGTGTTTTTCTTATCCTCATTGAAAGTTGTATGCTTGATTGCATGCTTTTTATTTTAAAAGTCATTCAAACGTGACTTTTACCACTGAATTTTAGCTTACAAGAATAAGAGATTGAAGTGCCTTGTTCTGATTAAAAAGTTATCCTGTGTTTGCAAATGTACATGTATATGTATTTTTTTTTCAATACGAATCAATACTCCTACACAGTAGCATGTTATAGAACTGTGAGAACTGACTTCCTCACCACATGCTGATGTTTTATTTCTAGTGATGACAGGAAGAGGAGACACGATGACAGAAGACTGTCTGATGAGAGGAGGAGTTACAGAAGAAGATCACGGTCCTACAGTCCCAGAAGTCCACGGAGGACTCGGGGCAGGTCCAGGAGTCCCCGCGAAAGAGGACGCTCAAGGTCATGGAGTAGGTCAAGATCAAGATCCAGGTCTGGACCTAGGTCATGGAGTAAATCTAGGTCAAGGTCACGGTCAAGAGAAAGAAGAGGTAATTTGTTTTCCAATTTAAAAAAAAAAATTGTTATCATTAATTTGCATTTATATCTTATGTGACTTTATTAAAGTACAAGGTGAGGTTGCAATGAGCCCCTTATTAGGGCCCCGCAAGAATTTGCGGGTGCCCTATAGTAATCACTCTGTCTGTCCGTCTGTCATTTTCCGTCCACAAAATTTCTGTTTTTTCCTAATAACTTTTTTTATGGTTGCCCAATGATGATCAAATTTGGTATGGTAGTTCAATAGGCAGAAAGACAAATTTTGTTGCTAAGTTTGTTTCTCTATGTCCCCTGGTTTGGAGCTGGGGTGGTGGGGTATATTCCTTAACTTTATATAAGAATGCTTTGGCAAAGAGAGATAACTGCTGATTACAGAAGATGTTTCCATTGTAAACTGAATGCTGCTATGAGTCCCTTGGGATTAATTAGCTTTCCTCCTGAAGAAAATCCAAAGCATTATCTTTATCTGTCACATTGAGATTAATTACCACCTCTGTCTGCAAATGAAGTTTGGTTTGAAGTTCAGTCAATCTGGAATGCTATGAACACTCTGAAATGTGGATTTAGATATAAATGTTTATAATTTATTTCCTGTTAAAATATCCTACACAATGAGTTATGATTTCATTGAATTCTAAAAACAAGAAATAGATTAAAGAAGACATATCTTTTATTTTTACTTTTTTTCCTTTATGTAAATTCAAGAATAATATTAATTTTTAAGGTAGTTGGATAAAAAACTCTATTCTAATATTAATACTGACAAATTTCTTATTGTGACTTTAGAAGAAAATGATGAGAGAGGTACAATTAATCCCTTGGGATTAATTATCTAGCCTGCTGAAGAAAATTTAGAAGGCTTATCTTTATCTGTCATTTTGAAATTAATGAAAACCTTTGTCTGCAACTGCTGTTTGTTTTAAAGTTAAGGTCAAGCCTTCATGATACATGTATTTGCACTCATTGAAGACTGGCATTTTATATAACACTAACACAAACTTCATTATTGTTTATATATTGTACATTCAATGTTAGGTTGTTCTTTACTGCCTAATATAAATATACAAGGATATTATTTACAGGTTTTTGGATATTCAGGAATTATGTTGAAAATTTTAAGAATATTGCTGTTACTTATTTCTTCATATATTTTTTAATCATTCCGTAAGCTGCATTCTTATAATTCCACCCCATGGCGGGGCCCTTGCTGACTGGTCAGTTTTCTAGTCATATCTATGAAAACACTGTTTCAGTTGTAACGGTTTT